CGCTTCCTTTCAGGTTTATATGTACATTAATGTATTTTCTTTTCAGCTTTATAAGTATTTCAAAATTTTATTTCGAAGACATCGTTGGACGACGTGGGATGCGTGCATTTAGATCTAAGTAGTTATAAGTAGTTATAGAATAGATCTCTAGGCTAAGTTTCATGTGCGTGCTTTCTGTACAAAGGTAAGCTGCCTAACTTGGAGCGAAATATATAAATTCTTTATCCATTTTCTATCCCTCTCGCTTGCCAAATAGAACATAATTGTTCTCGCGATACTCGCGATCGTTCTTAAGTACCGACTAGCTTGCGCGACGTACTCTCGTATACTCGACAATGCCATGTTCCGTAAGTCATCTTCACGGCTCGTCTCCGACACTCATTCCTGCCACTGTCAATCTCGTCATGCATTAAGTTCGGGGTTAGTTGTCGGGCTGGTGGCTCGTCTGGTAACAATACGAGAACCTGCGGCCCTGTTCGTCCTTTGTACCATCGCGTACATGACTGGGGTATGGGCTTTGCAGTCGGACACTGCATATCGTACCTACGGTCAGACCCCATGGGATGATTCCTTAATTGGTTTCTCCCCCATGTGGCAGGGGAACGGCGTGACCGGCTGCAAAGTCTTGCTAGGGGCCCTCGGGTTGATTCTGGATGTTTCACTGGTTCGTTGGCTACCTTCGATATCGAGTAAGTCATGGCGGGGTCGGCAGTGGCTGGGATGGGCTAGGCCCGATTGAGAGGATGCTGGGGCATGAAGTTGCCTTGTACACGAGAGTACATTGAGTATGCTAGTCGGTCTTTTGAATAGTCGCGAGCTCGTTCGGGCGCGTCGCGATTTTTCACATGCTTGCGTCTTTCATATTTTATTCCCTATTTTTATGGGAACTTGGTAGTATTAGAATCTATTGAAATAAAATATCTTAGTGTTGCGACAGTAAAGTTTTAGTATACCGAATCAAAGTACCCTCTGTAAGACACGATATTTAGTAAAGTGTCAATAATTTCACTTTAATTTCTTTCGCTCCAAGTTAGATTAGGGTATCTTTGATACGGATAGCACCAGTAGGTCGCGCCATGTCCGGGTCTCAATGCGTAGCCACCTCCACATCGTGAGACCTGGTAATTGGTATCGTTTCAAAAGAGCAATCATTTGAAACGATATCAAGCTAAGAGCTACGCATAGAAGTTAAGATATTTGCAATAAATTTTCAATGTTCCTTTGCAGCTACCAATAATTTTATCTAATTTTTTTAACTCTATTAAATTTTACATTCCACCCGAACACCCTTTTATGTTTTTTCTAAACATAAATCACAGTTAACGTTGTGAAACGTAAAACACTTGGAAATGTGAAAAACTGACAGAGCAATCACATATTCGAACCTATAAAATATAAGAATTGTATTTATTTATATTACAATTTTCTCTATCTAGCAACATAATAATTTTCATAGAAAATTCTCCGTTGAAGTCTACTATATATATGGTTACTCGATAAAACAGGTATACAGACTTCCATGTAAGGCGACGAATACTTGCAATCTATACACGTACAAACTGTCGTTTGCTGCCATCACATGGCGTTTAAATGCCAACCATGATACCGATTCTCGTACATTTTCAGCTAAACATAATATATCCTCTTTGAAGAATATTGCTGCATCGATGCGGCTTAGTTTACAACTCTAGTTCACCGAACAAGGGAAAGAAGTGTCGATATTTCTTTCCACTAAAAGAAGTAGACACGAAAGAATAAACAATCATTTTCATTCACTGGAAAAACGACGGATGAGCGATCATTAATTTTTGCAGAAAAATATTCGAAGGAAGAACAAAGTGAAAAGGATCACTTTCTTAATATAAGAAGCATAAAGTCATCGTAAATACATGTGTGACTTTTAGAAGGTATAAAGCAACGATAACGTAGAGTAAAGCGTACTATTCGAAGGGTAAAACGTGGAAAATAAGAGATTTCAGGTTACCGAAAATTAAAAAAATTTCCCTTCAGAAATCAAATTTCTATATCGAAAAAATTATAGTTTTAAACATAACAAAAATCTATAAATCTCTTTTATTAAAGTTCATTGCAAATTCGTACAAATTTTGAATAAAACATTACGAAATAACCGCGTTGCAGATTTCTGCATGGACACACGGTAAGTGATACAGCCAGAATATTGATCAGACCGATGGATGCACGTCGGTATATAATACGCCATCTATGCGTGGAGGATTTAACTTCGTAAAAGGTGTAATAAATCTTTGTAAATAAAAGCACAACGATCGATCGCGATAATTTCTAGTTTAATTAACGTTTTAATAAAATATGATTATTTTTAATACTTTAATAACGATTATCCACATCGGAATTTAAAATATTCCCATTTCAACTTCGACTTCATAAAACATGCGAATTTTCAAACTGAAACTAGTCTTGTTGCAATTTATTATACGTAATTTCTATTTTCGTTGCAAATTACCGAGGTAGTACGATCTTTCCTAAAATAAAATTTATCCTAAATCCGAAAAATCTGGATTTTTCTTAAATTAATATCGAAATACAATATCGCGAGAGAAATTTATTTTCTGTATAAGAATAATAAATATTTAAAGAGTTTCGAGAACTTTTTACACCACGACAAATTGCTACCACACTATGAATATTAAAGTAAACGTTGAAAATACCTTCGTGCATTTTTCACTCGCTAAATCGAACGTTACCGACATAACCTTCGCTGAAATGCATTTTCATTTATTTCCCACTTTGGACGTTTACCAATTTTTATTACCTTGATCTATCATTACTCTATTACATACTGCACACAACCTATCGTTACACAACTTTTAATACTGCTCTAGAATCTACGCTTCTGTGATAAGAGGTAGTAGAAAATTTGCTCAAGTTTTACGCGAGAACTATAATTTTATCGTAACTTACCATTGCGGTGAGATGAAAAATATCGAAATTCTATTTTCGATGAACTACCGAAAGAGATTAAAAAACACGTGCGAGGTCCAAACGAATTTTTTGTTCTAAATTTCCTTACATACTCTATAACGACTATGCAGGATGGTTCACATAAATGGGACGAGTCGTATCTTTCTTGCGATTGCAATTTCTGAGATCATATTTTCTTTTGCAAGTCTAATGAAACTAATTAGACTTGTTCTAAATTTGTAAATATTCTAAAATTGCACGATATTTTTTAATCGAATCATATACATTTTTTTAAATAAATTAGACAGGAAAATAAATTGGAAAATGTATAATATTGCGAACATTTTTTGACTCTAGTTCAGTATAAATTGCGAAATTTAAATTTCTTTTTTTATAAGACTATCTCAAAAATAAGCTGTATCTACGTGCACTTTATTTTCCCCAAATCCGCTAGATTTGATCATGAAAACAATTAAAAACTGGTCACGAAACTTGATGCAATTGAAGAAATTTGCAATTCTTTATTCGAAACAACAAATTTTGCCAAAAATTTAATAAAAATATTTATTCAAACTCCTATATGAATAATTTTTCAACCACTTTACCCTAACATCTACCTTTCTTTCTCTTTCTTTTTAGAAATGACAATTTGAAAGCACAGACAGTTTGATCTATGCAAAGTGAAAGTAAAAGTCTGTTGAAAAATAGCGTGCTGGAAATGCAATACTTTCTCCCCTAACATTTTCTTTTAATAACAACCGGGAAACAAGACTTGACCCAACTACATGGACCACCCTGTATTTCATATGTCGGTACGAACAAACTGGCGAATAATATGAGTCTCTGAAGCTTGGTGAAACGCTTTTTCCCGCTATCGATCTCTTGAAAAGCCAAAGCATGGGAAATATTACCATATATTTTGTGATGAAATTATTAACTGACAATGAAGACTGATAGGGTAACGTTTGCGGAAGACAATATAAGAAGCGGGACCCATACATTGTTAATCCGCTTTTGATATATCGTCGCGAACGACAGTATCCAAACGAAGTTAGTTAAAATAATGTATTCTATTCTTCACGAATACTTGTTTATACGACGTGTCTCTTGACATAAATACTTCGTGGTTAATCGATGAAGAAGTCATAAATAAAGATACGTAATTCGAGGTTGAATATAAAGGATCGATATTTATATTAAAATAATAATACAGGCATATCGTTGCGATTTGAACCTTCCATTTTGTTTCTCGATATCAATAAAAATTATTGCATTCCGAATAATACAGATTTTAATTTTATTCGTGATGCAGTAAACTTTCTCAGATTTCTACATTCTGGGGTACATCACGTCCTATTGTTTACTTTATTATATATTCACTGATTTTACTACTAGAAATTATAACTGAATTTTCTATCGATGATGTTCGTTAATTTTAATCGATAAAAGTGAAATGTTAGAACCTTCTGCGTTTTCCTATTCTCTTGCTAATAGCATTTAATAATTTTAGTGGGTAAAAATTGATTTTGAGAATTTTTCACAGTTTTCTACTGCCTTCGTAATAATATCCAATAGTAAAATTCTTTGTCCTTTCTTTCCTCTTGCCAGCTATATTTTTTACTAATTTCAATGGATAAAAATTAATAATTCCAACTACACTATGCCTTTCTTTATCCTGTATATACAAGATATATATGTATATAACAATAACATTTACTAACCTCAACGAATAACAATTAATTTTCCAAAACTCCTCGCATTTTCCTACCTTATGTTCACACTTGGTGAACAAAAATTAATTTTCAAAAATATCCACGCGTTTTTACTCTGTTACCAAATAATATTCACCGATATTGACGAATAAAAATTAATCTTTCAGAACCCTACGCACTTTCTACTCTAAAGGGTCGATCTCTAAAGCTATCTCTAAAGCTATCGCAAGAAAATTCGAAAAATTCAGGGAATTCGCTGTGAGAAGAGTGTTTGATAAAACAACTAACGTAAGGAAACATCGAAAGCGTGGAAGAAGAGCAGAGAAAATAGAGAACATTTATGGGTACTCACACAGAGAAGTGGTATAGGAAGCACTTCCAGCCGGCGGGACGCTCCAGGAAGTTGTAAACTTGACCCTGAAATGTCGCTTTTCCAGCACGTCGATGTTCCTTCACGTAGTAACGACCCTCCCACGTGTTACGATCCCCACCGGTGCTGGCACCCAACAGTAATCGTGGATCGACACCTGAACATTCGTGAGGTTCGGATCAATATTCCAAATGACGATAAAGCGCCGGAAATTTGCAGATTTCTCGCCAGATCGGCAGAAACATTCGGCGAAACGATAAGAAAAAGTGGAAGAGCGAGGTAAAGGGTAGATCCGATGATTGCGAAAATGTGCAGATAAAATGGACGATACTGTGTAAGGATCTTAGGCCATATATCGTGTTCCTAGTTATTTCGTATTTCATGAACGGGTATAAAATAGGTCGAGGACTTTCGAATTAGGAATCATCTTCTTTTTGCTCAAAGAATTAGGAAGACTCTACAAATTTTGAATGCGATAAGAACAAATATAAAGAAGAAACTACTTTTGGTGAAATTATCGTGAACTTCTATTGAAATATAAATATGCACGTATCTATTCATATTTATCTACTTTGATTATTATCTATTTTCGTTATAGGTTAAAATTAGATAAGAGAATGATATTTCTCATGATACCAAAAAGTCGATAATGTAAAAATTTAACTATCATCGGGAAAATTCTGTTGAAAAAATTATTCGACTAAAAGAGAAGTGAAATTTTCCAAAGGCAATGCAGGCTTTCTCGGTTTTACCCCTAGAAGGCGAGTAAAATTAAATCCATATTTGGACACACGCAAAATTTAACAGGAAATCTCGTTAGAGAAAAGTAGATATTCCAAAAACTAATTACCATTTTGAATATACTTTTTCTCTTTTCCTATCCTCCGTTTGCTGTAAATGTTCGGGATTTTATGTATGGTAGACTGTAGAAGGAAAGATTACGAACCAAAGAAAATTATGAATAGATAATAGCATAAATAAGACACTTGAAAATTGATCCGTGTGTAAGAAATATCATGAATCTAAAAATTATTATAATAGATGGATTTTAGTTACATGCCAGCAAAATTTCAGCATGCAACAATGGGAAATAATCTGAAGTATTTAATCTAAATGTAATACAATGTATGCATACGTTGCATAAAATGAATCGTGCAAAAATGAATTATATTTAATAATTACTAGCATATAAGTAGTACAAAATAAAACACGCATTTGTAACGGTTAAATGCATTTTTCTTACACGATATGTACAAGTACCTCGTACCTCGAGCAACTTGGCAAATATACTCGATTCGTTCCGGAGAAAATAACTTTAAAAGTTAATTTCAGTCCTCCAAATGTACAAACTTTCATAACAGTTTGTTTAAGGACAGCTCGAGAAAGTTTATTATCGACGAATTCGCAGACGAGATAGAAGTTTATGTACTAATACACGCTGAAAGACACGCTTACACTATGTACTGTAAAATAATTTATCGACACGCTGACCTTTGGAATTTTATTCAATATAATCCATTATTCGTGAAATATATCAAAATCCTTATATTTCATGTATATCGTTTATGTACACGAATAAATAATCGTATCTTCTCGATCAATTATTATCGTACAAAATTATTTAGAATTCGTACTCGATTCGTTTCATTAAATTTAATTTGTGGAATTTGGAAAAGAAAGTATAGTAAAATAAGAAAATCACGAATTCGAGAGGAGCATAGTTAAATTAAAAGTTTAACAGAAAAATCTATAAATGTCAAACGATATGGGACAGCCTTTCAATTTGAAAAGATCAGATAATAAGTTAATTACCTCGGTTAATTACCTCACGGATCAGATAGAAAAGGTTGCCCTAAACTAACGCAAACACCATCATAATTAACTCGAGCAGTAATAACCAAAACCGATGGATATTAAAAACCCCATTTTTATTTCAATACATTACCGATAAATTTTGAAATAATTAATTTAAATTCACAGTTTATTGTTTTTCTAAGAAGGCTATAATTAGAGACCTCTATCGTTAGTTTGTAGAACCTCCGTTATATGAACATCTGTTATGTAAATGTTATATAAATATTCTGTTATTTTCGTCATTTCTATTCTTAGTCCTATGATACATTATATAATTATATAAACAATATATTTCTGAGTACAATATTGCATATGAACATACAATGTCTTCCTTTCTTCTATAATAGAGAAAATAAAATCCAATGACAGCGAATCAGTATAAAACTGTCACGATACACTACACGATGATAATAATAATAGTAATAATGCTAATGCCAATATTGACTTTACAATTTAATACGATTATCTATTTGATCGATTATTAGTTTGTATAATTGAAGACTAAATGTAGAAAAAGAAAATATATACATTTCACAAACACTATATTAATCTAGAAAAACGAATAATGTCGAAATACCTATTGGTAGGGGTAGCACACGTTCGTTTATGGTCGTAATTATGGGGAAAATGCAAGTCGCGGTGTCGTATAGTCGATTAATTTGTTCAATCGGCTATTCTGTTATCCGCTGAAGGCAATAACCTTCGATATGCTAAATTATTAATTATTTCCGATATGCGGCATGTGACGTGCACTGTGGGTGCATCCCGGGGTTACAAATCGTCCCCGTATTCATATCCACCGCATAGAGACCGTATTATGCAATGTAATCACATAAACTGTTTACCGTTTGTCGAAGCCTCAGATGTTTCGTGAAGCTGCTGCAAAACCACGTCGCGAAGCCCGTGTATGAAACAGAAACGTGTCCATTGCAATCGAATCACTTTCAGATAACAAAGCTACCATCGCCATTTTCAATAATGAAACAAAGAAAGAAAATGGTTGGAGTGAAATTTTACCATTCGCTATCACTTTTCCTCGATTCTTTAGTCCCCATTATTGTATTCGCGAAAACGATTATTTTGGAAGAAACAGTTTTGGAATAATTTCTTTTAATACTTAAATTACCGTTGGATAATGATGAAAATAAAATTATTTCGATAAAATTAAAATTCCGAGTATTTTATTCGAGAAAATTTGGAAATTTCTTGTTTCAAATATTCGATTTCTGTTTTACACGCAAAAATAATTATTTTAAATAAAATTGACGGTACGATATTTTTATTTATTTTATTAAGTTATTAAGAATTTCTGTTCCATTTATAAAATTAATTATTCTGGACGAGATTGCCATTAGGAAATTTATATTATAATTATTAACGTTTTAAATACTCGAATTTTTATTTTATTCGTAAAAGCGATTGTTTTAGATCAAATTCACGTATATTAGACACGTTCCTTTCCTTTAAATATTCCTTTTTTTTTAAATATTCGAATCTGATATATTCGCAAAATTGGTTACTCGAGTATACTTATCTTAGGAACATTTTTGTTCCGGATACTCGAATTCCGGTAGTACCTCCTGTGTGAGGTACTATTATTGTTCCCATCGTTCTCACAGTGGACCATAAAAATCCGTCTGGAATCCATGGAATGACACTGCATAATCGCGGAGATTACAAAACATCGAAGACTACGTCCCTATTGGACGGTAATTTAAATTATTTTCACGTTACTCGACACCGCGTTATCTTCTCACCTACATCTGTCGCGTTCTATGCAATTACTCGTTTAACAAAACTCTGCTTTAAATTTTCAAACACGCATGGAAATATACTAATCTCCGAACCGAGAGAAACCCTATTAGCTGCTCCGATGTAAATAATACTCTATTCATCCTAATCAAAAGCAAAATTTATAAGACACATTCTAAATAACACGGAAAGACACGAACACAAATCCAATTTATCAGAAATTCATAAATTTATCAGATACAATAACCGAGATCCTTCAAATGCAGAATTTAAAAAATTTCAGATAAATAAAAAGATTCGTCGGTTATATAAAACACAAGTGACAATGAAAACAAGTTGCTCGATTGTTGAAACAATTCTCAAATCTGGCAAATGTAATCCTGAAATACCACTTTCGACCAAACCCGAAACTCCTTCAACAATTCCTAATATTGCACGTATTACACGAATAAAACCTATTCTACGTCTCTATGTCACAGCTGGATTGGTGTCTTTCAATGAAAAGAAAAAACACTAAATTTTGATCACATCGGAGAAAGGCTCGTTCAGTAGACCGTGGTGCGACGCGACGAGCGAAAAATTCACAGAGGACAAAACTGGAAAACTCGCGGTGGAGAAACAAACGCGATTCATTGGGCTCTCCGCGACTCTTTCGCGAAAAACTGTCTAGCGTGTCCGTGGAAAAACCGCACCGAACTGAACCACGCGTTGTAAGTAATCCAATTACTTGGCGAGTAAATATCGGCCACGCGTGGACTTGGAGCTAGCAGGAACAATCGGATGCGAAATTAAAGCATGTCACTCGCGGGGAACGCAGATATTCCGCTGGCGTAATTAATGCTTGCCGAGCCGCGAATTCAATGTGATTTTTGACCGATTTCCTTCTATACGTGACATATAACATCGGTTAGATACCGATTTAACCCTTTACACTCGAGAGGCGACTCTCAGTCGCTATTTTAATCAGAACCTGAAGATTGATGTTAACTAATATATCAAATTTAAAATTACCCAATGATGCGTGGAATATCGAAGTAAAATAATTCTACCTCCTAATTTCCATACGATTTCTTATTTACCGTTTTAAAAATTTCGTCAACTTTATGGCAGAAAGTCTTCGAATTACCATCTTTCTATAACGAAAAATTCGCCGAGTGCAAAAGGTTAATAGTGAATTAGGGAACGAGTATACTTTCTGACCTAAAGGTTTTCGAACAAAGTAATGAATTTTAAGGTTTAGGAATTTTTGTATATTTGCAGTTTGAGATAAGTATGTAGAATTAACCTTTTGTAGTCGGCGATTTCTTCGTTATAGAAAAATAGTAATTCGAATATTTTCTGCCATAAAGTCGACGATGTTTTTAAGACGGTAACTAAGAAATCATATACGAATTAAGACAGAATTATTTTACTTCGACATTTCATGTATCGTTGGTATTTGATATATTCATTAACATATTAATATATTAATTATATATTAATTAACATCGATCTTTAAAATCTGATTAAATGGTGACTGATGATCACTACTCAAGTGTAAAGGGTTAAAATTAGGACGAGATTAAATTAATTCTTTGTCTTCTGAGATGCGTAATTAGAATTTATAATATTGTAGCATAAGAACTATTAATATTTTTAGAATCTTTTATATGAAGCCTATTTTTTTATTTTTGCATGTGTAGCTTGGGAGATAAAGAGTGTAGAAAAATTCGAAAATTTGTACGTTGTATATTCTTTATCTTCTAAAATACGTATATTAACATTTAGAATAAGGTGTGAGATAATATCTTATGTTATATTTCTAATTTTAAATTATGTATCTCAGAAGGAAAAATTTGTATAGCATACAAAAATTCGCAAATTATCACTTTGTTGTTAACTTTTATCAGTAAGTATATACAAGATATACTATCGCTACCACAAGTAAAAATTTACATTAGAATTCTAAATTTGATTTTTATATTCATAATTTACCTTAGTTATATAAATTTAGCGAATATTGTAAGATCTTTTGTTGAGTCTATACAAAATCCAAATTTATTTTATATTATGTATATTGCTACTTAAAATTATTCGAGGGATTATAACGTTCTAAATAAACATGTTTAAGAAACCGACGAAATATGTGAAATTTCAAACAAAATAATCCTTGTTTGAATAATAACGCGACATAGGACCCTCTCTTATTTCAACTAATCGTTAAATTAAAAACTTCGACGAAGATCGCTTTATGAAACTTTGGCATGTAACTTGCTATAACTTGAAAAATGGGATACGTAAAAAAACATAGGAAATTATCGCGTAATCTAAATGAAATCTATTAATTACGTACCGTACAAAATAAATTATTCTTTCTTCGGAAACTAAATCTCAAACTACCCTAATTAAGAGATAGTCCAGATAATTAAGGTATCAATTATGTTACTCGCAGCATACTTCATCTATTTACCCAAACTCGATACTTCTATCAAAGTTCTACGTTTTAAGGAAAAATACTTTGAACTTACAGATAACCAAAGCAATTCTACTAAAATCGAAGATAACGCGTGTTTTCGAATATCACATTCGAGATACCGAGAAACCTGGTAAATTACTATAGATAGCGAGAAGTAATTTTGACAATATCACAAGTTCTCTTTTTACGTTACCATTTTATTCCAATAAATATTCTAATAAATGTTCTAATAAATTTCTAGCCATCTGTAAAATCGTTTAATTCGAAGCATATTACTCCCTGATATTTCAGAGTATTTAATAAATTATTTATTAAGCTCGTATTCTTTGTGGACCTCGAATGACGGAGTATTAATACGTCCAAGGATGCATTCGATACAATGTTTTATCCACCTTTGATGTAGCACGCTTTACTGAATTTTTCCTCACACCATCGCTTAGCAACTTCACTGCAACCAGGACCTAACCCCTGAAACGCTTCCGCTGACAGGATATGACGTCGTCTACCCTTCCATTACGAACCGAAGGTAAGCCGATCCTTCGTCGTCAATATTTAACCTATACACGTGCGCACGGGTGTCCAAAAAATCACGAACCTTCGCGTTTATTTTATAGTGAAATTTGAACCAGCGAATAATCTTCAATTAGAAATGAAAGATTTTAAAACAGGAATAGAACAAATGAGAGTACTCGGATAAGACGAGAGTATTAAAATAAAAATTTGAGAAGTTATGATCTAAAATTTAACCAAATTTTAATATTCTGTTTGTTTTTATGAGATTTTTAATTTTTAACATATTTTATTTATAATTTGAATTTGCTTTTATATGCTACTCGCTAAAATTCGGAATAACGTAATTAAGATTAATTCTTTTTATTTGACATCTTATTTTACTTCTACTGATTTTTCGTGGGAATTTCTAATCGGAATGACCCAATTGGCTGGAATTTTTCTACCATGTTACTGATTACACGAATTTTTGTATCATGTGCACATATATGTTGTACCGACAAACACAATTTTAAAATGGTTGCAAATATCTAATACATCTTACGAATATATACTGCAGTGTAATTTACCGGGACTACGTAGCATGCATTTTTAATCAGCGATTAATCAAGCTTATCAAACGCGGTAGAACGTAAAAAAAAGTTAACTGACCCGCGGAATTTTCTTTCATACATATTGTCTGATTTTAATGCAATATCATTAATAAACTTCTTCGATCTGCCCTACATGATTCTTCTAAAACTACGTTTCTCATTCCATCAAACATTTTCTTTTCAACCCCATGACATAAATTCCATCCACAAAGCATGCTACAACGCGATAAAGAAGAAATAATTATCGATGCTCGTATAGCACGAAATAATTAAACGCACATATAAAAACGAACATAAACGTTTGTAGACTTTGTAGACACAATCATAAGATCACAAGACCAACAGAAACACGAATATTAGAAAATACTGAATACAAGAACAGAGGAAAACACAGAAATTCCAATGTACTTCTAGTCAATTAGGAAATTAATTCCATCAAGCATTAACATCCACACTTTCATACTCTCAATCCAACGTCATCGTCACTTACCGATAAAAATATTCGATAACTCACGAAACGATTATAACTTGATTAAACAAAGGCACAAGACTCCCCACATCAAAGGAAAGAAGTAAAAAGAAGAAAAGCACAAAAATTGCATTTCAAATAAATTATAAAAATGTTCATTCCATTAAACGATTAACTTCACATCACTACACCCACACCTTCGCGGAACACGATCATAAATTAGTAGGACAAAAACACAAATATTCCAAACACCAAAGAAAAACATAAAAATTCGAATGCATTTCCAGAGAATAAAAAAAAAGCTCATTCCATGAAACAATTAACTACACGTTACTAACACCCATAGTCTGATACTCTCGATCCAACGTAATCCAAGTAGCGCAGGTAAGCAAACGTCTGACGCGACAGATGAGTACATTAGGGGTTGAAAAAGAGGGAAACAATAATCGTGAATGACCTCACCTCCGCTAAAGGTATCATTGTTGTCCGACTGCAGTGTGGCACTCGTGTCGGATAAGGGCGACGGAGTTGGCCTTAAATCCGACGGTGGTTCCAATCTCAGTAAATCACTTCCGCCATCTCCACCGCCCCCATTTCCTTTCCCGACCTGTACAATCGTCACATTCAGAGGTCCCCGGTTACCTGTCGTAAAACAGAGAAACCGCAATGAGTCCCGGCACCAAAAATACGCCTTCTGGATGTTCGCTGCGACGTCGCTGATACTCCATTTCCGGTTAATTCGTCCACCATGATACTCGCAGTTTACGACACTACCACCAATAGGAACATTTAGTCGCTTGTTCCGGGTGAAAGAGTTATGGTTCTACGTGTATAGGGTTGAATTCCAAGTGGACAATTTTAGAAATCGCGATAATCTAAGGGTGGTTTCCTAATAGAAGACTTGAGGTTCTGGGAGTTGTTAATTATACCAATTATTGGTCTCGAATAAAAATAGGAGTTTATGTGATGCTACGAGAGAAATAATATTTTGGATATGAATTTAGTATGTTTAATGTTGGTTGAAAACTGGTCGAGAATATACGACGCGTATAATATAGGGTTATACTACTGAGATCTAGCGGATGAGTATTATTAAATAGTATTCGTAGAATAACGATCAAAATTCCGTATTGTTTATGCAATATTCCGTATTTTGTATCTTAAATCCTTCATCTCGAGTCGTTTATCGCGAATTAACTACTGCTAATCTCTAACTTTCTGTATGATGTTATAGTACTATGATCTACTAGATGAGTATCAAATAGTATTTATGGAATACCAATGAAGGCTTTATTTATGGATTCTTCCATATTTTATGTAAAGTATGGAATACTGTATCGAATCCTCTACCCCGGATTAAGTATTTTTAATTTTTAATTCTTCGTTCGAAGCTCGAAATTGGGAAAATAAAAATCACTCTATTTGTAGATTTCAAATTCTGCCTACACGTATTCCTATACTTATCAAATTCTGCCTAAATGTATTCCTATACCTATCAAATTCTACCTGAACGTATTTCTCATTTCTGAAAATTGTACATTATCAGTCCATTATTAAAGCGTTATTACCTTTATTCCAAGTATCATCACCTTTATCGTCTACTGATCCATATGTAGGTCGGAATAATCCGTGCTAGTTTATAGTAGAAGAAACAGGAATAGTTTATTGATTTAACAAAACGTAATAAAAAACCGGCTATCTTTGTACTAGCAAGTGAACCTGATGATCTTACATACCTATACAGAGGAGGAAAAAACAAGTCGCATGTTCAATACACTGTCAACCCATTCCACTTTTTAATTCATTATTTATATTATATATTTATATTAGTCCAAAATATTTCGTACATATTTATGGTTAGGGATGATTCGTCGCTTGATTTTAAAAATCTGAATATACTAACAACACGTTTTACATTACCAATCTGTCTTTTCATTCATTATTTATAACGCGTATCTACATTACTTGATATTAGTCTAGAATACTTCATAAATATTTATCATCGTTACATTAATCGTAACTTTGACTTTGCACAAACTTCGCCAATTTATCGCCTACTTCCAAAACTTCATATCTCTGGACCTACAGGTTATTCCTCCCCCAACTACATCACTCTAAAACACTTTCCCCTAAACCATCAAACACCATAAAGATCATAAAATCAATAAAACCAGACCCCTAAAATTTTTCCTCCTGCGAAAAAACGTTTCGCTTTTCCCTAACTTGAAACCCAATCTATCAAGATAATATCGGGAATTATAAGAAAAATGTGGTATATATGACCCACATTTTCACTTTCGAAATATCGCCATTTCAAATTCCGAATATTAGTTCTTCTGACACAACCATACGATTAAATTCCATAATTCTTTTGAAGAAATAAAATTTCTTCCCATTCCCTGTTTTAAATATAAATTAATATAACGATAAATATATCAATCACATATTTCGCAAATCAATTAATAAGAAACGATCGATTGTTCAACTAGTACAAGAATTGATCTACATTCCACATTTGATCTACGTTCAAATATAAATACACCTATGACATTATTAATTTGTAACGTAATTTGTCGATAATTTCAATTTAACAATAACCTGATATTTATACTCTATTTGCAATAGAAATGTAAATTGCTAAAATTAAAAGTGATCTAACCAAAATCAATTCTTCATCTGCCCTTGAAAATTTGTAAATGAGAAGAATTTCTCGACCAACGAGAAAACTAAAATTTTCCAAAATCGTAACACCGGCGTTCCATTTCTTGGCAACAGATACAAGTATCAGAGACGGAAGTCAATCGAGGTATAATTAGTTAAAGGTTTGCCATCTTCTCCCTCGGCTTCGGCAATTTATCCACTACGATCGAGCGACCAGCTTCATTGACAATGTGAGATTATAATTATTCGAAGGAATAGGATTATAAGCGAGGGAATAGGCGATGGGTTTCCTGGGGAGATTGCTAAGTGGTAATTAACCTTCGTTTTACCGAGCCTCGAGTAAGCTGTGCCAAAGTTAAACCCACTTAACCCTTAATCCTCGCCATCCCTGATTCCTAATTCGATAAATTATCGAAAATACTCGCGCGATGATCCCATCGATGGAAAAAATGTTTGAGAAAGGAAACGATTATGCCATGTCTCACAAAAGCATCAGCATTGCACCCTAAAACTGCGAGATATATCTTTAATACTTCACAAAGTACCGAGTAATTATAATAGTTTGATACTCGCGTATCTATCCCTCGTTATTTATTCACGTCGATTGCTGAGTCTAATGATATTGGTTTTATTGGATCCAATCAAACACGTTTCGAGAATATTTTATTGAGATCCTAAATGTAGGAGTGGAGCAGGTCCTGAAAGAATGCTAAGAGAGTTTGAGACCTAGGACGTCAGTGACCGTGTGCAAGATGATCGATTCTAAGGGATATTTATGAAAAAATCGACTGCGAGCAACGAGCAAATGTTTAGGAATGCGTTCTGAGTGTTTCAAGTACCTGGCCCACCGAGGACCAGGTTGCATGGGAAATGTATGATTGAGGAAGAGAGCCTCAATATCAAAGAAGACAGTGTGTAAGGTTAAGATAAGGATACAAAGTTGTTGGGCAAGTCAGTCCTAAGGAAGCTGTCAATCATAAAAGTCCTAAGAAAGTTGTCAGTTGCTAGTGTGTTAGGAAGAGTGTTGCAAAGAGCGTGAAAGTGAAAAGTCAAGTGAAGTCACGGTCGGTCGGGAGAAGCGTGTATAGTTACTACTGTTATTCTATTAATAAAGCCTACTTTATTCTATTAAGCGTTACAATATTATTCTAAACGATCCCTTTAAATACGATGCTACATTAATAGAAAAGAGCCAAATTTAAGCTGCAATTTAACCAACAATATGGTTTCCATTTCTATTTCTTTTATTTCTTTTCTACTCACGAGGATATAATAATTCGAGAGAAGGAAGGAAATGATAGTAACGTATTTCATCAAAGATAAATACCTGTCTCATAAATTAATTTGACACACTAATTCCTGCAAATTTATACCGATTACCTGATACAAAAATTCCTCGCTGGTACATTCTAAAATGATTTAATCAATTTCGATCAATTCGTATGAAAAATATAGGAAGAACAAATGGTTAAGTATCGAAGTAATTATAACTAGAGTTACAGCTGTACATTTTCGCCGATTCCCTATCGTTTGAGTAATCACGATCCAAATACGAAGAGAACACTAGTTCATTCGGTGAAATCGCTATTCGGTGAAATCGCTAAACTTCGTAATTAATGATACACTTTACCCAGAATCCTAGCCAACTGGATACCAAGGCAATCTGTTCTAATTTACGCTGAATCGATGGTGTTGATCGGTTAGATCTGACTCAACACGACTGAACATAAGACTTTGAAATCGATGAGTAATTGGATTCTGTAACAAAATCACGTTCAACGTCAATTTCTAAAGGTTGCATCGAATTTTTCTAGCTACGTAGTATTTAATTAATGTTTAATATTTACAATTAGTGTTTATAATTGCATTTCACACTGGATTCACACTGTACAATCTAAGTTAAATGTTCTTACCAGTTAAGCTAAAATTTCATCTGAGTCCTGAATATAATCGTAGCAGCAAATACACCTTTGTTTATCTATCAACTCTGTTGCAGGAGGAATTAGAACGGATCAGATAGAGGAACTTCATGAATTAGTAGATTGTCCCGTTACATAGCGTTTGTCTGCTGTGGAATTCAAATTTGTGAAACTCGTATTCCACGTTACTTTTTTACACCGCAGTTTGACGATTGTTACTTTAATTATTTCTAGTTTGTTAACTTGGTGTGTAGTAGAGCGAACTGGAACATATTAGATAAATAGAGGAACAAGAGGAATTAACAGGTTTGTCTAGCTATACCTATAATGTTTCCATACTCTGGAATTTAATTTTGGAATTCAAATTTTCCCTCGTTTTCTTACATTTTCAAAAATAGATGACACGATTATTTAGCCCTATTCGTAACAGGAGAAATAAGAATAAATTGAATAAATAAATTGACCCACTAAACTGGCAAATTTACCCAAATTCATATTTCTACATTCTACAATTTTTATTCGACTCCGCTCTTTTATATTTTAACGTTTACTTATTACTTCAATTATTTCATTATTTTATTACTAATTATTTTATTATTCCAATTATTTATTACTCCAATTATTTCATTATTTTATTATTGGAATATTCTCACCAATTTCAATAACTTCAGATAAATTCCAACCCATTCCTATCACTGAATGGAATAAGATCGTCACATCCGAGATAAAAAAGAAGCAACGATATCGGATATTCGGATCACGGCAAACGCGCGATTATTTTCCCGCGCCTGCTTTATTATTCATCCCACTTTATTATCCTTCGAAATACCTGACCATCGCGCCGGAGATTGGACTATAAACGGTAGCAACATCGTATCCTTATCGTATCTGGTCTATATAATTCAAAATAGAATGCAACGGATCGCCGTGGACTTCCGTGTGTATTGTATACGTAATAAAGGAAGACAGTAAAATTTTACGGCTTCAACAGCTCTCGTAAAACTCAGCCTTTCATAACTGACGACCAGATTCGAAATTATATTGACCTACCCTCGGTGCAAGATCATCCGATATGCATGAAAGCTCGATGAAATATGGACCATTATTGTTTCAATTAGCGAAATTTCTCGTTAACTAATTGCAAACTTTGTACCTTTGACTCTGAGATTCGAAAATATGATATAGTAATTTTCTAATAGAGTTTTCCGATTTCATTATTTTATTATTTCCGAAATTGTATGCGATAGAGCAATTTAGATTGCGGATTCGGTTTCAAGAAAGTAAACTCTACAAGTTTTACCTAACAGGATACTACAGATTAAAATTCTTATTGAAGTGTGTAACTGACAATTTTATGCATCTTGAACTCCAATGTTTTAGAGTTTAATATTCCAGGATAATGGAAAAAATATCGACCAAAGCATTTAAAAATGTAGCCAGGCAAATGAGAAAGTTTGAATTTTAATCGATGGATTTACAGGTAAATCGTACGTGTGAGCTTCATCGACTAGGAATTCCGAAAGTTGTAAGTACTTTAGTTGGACGAGTAAAGTTTTAAACTTCGATGTGATTAATATAGAAAATTCCATCACACGAAATTAAAACTGTATCTGACGAGAAAAATATTTTCTCTCTTCAATATTTTCAGCTATAACGAATACAAATAATCGAAACAATAATTTCTATATTCCCCTTCTTTGAAATTCGTGTAACTCCTAAGAAATTCGCGAATTTGTAAATATAAAAAAAATATAAAAATTAAGAAGTTATTAAATATTTAATTTTACGAATAATCTACAAATAGATAAAAATCCTACATCTATCCATTAACTCATTTTACTTCGCTTAGAAAGACATGGTAACCTATTATTGCAACTATAGTAACCATCTATCCATAAACTGTTACTTTTTTACTGCCTTTTTACTGTATTTATATTTTACATTTTATGCCAGAGTAAAAAGTAATTTTCTTTATTATCTACATAAATATATGCCACGATGAGGAAAGATAGAGTGCCATAATTTTGTTTCCATTATAACGTAATTATAGTCACGATCAGGCTTTTCTAAACATCAGTGCACGAAACGCTAAATGATCCAGATAAAAGAGTAAACTCGAGTAATTTAATAGTACGAGGATTGCGTCTCTGAGGTTAATACCGATCGTAAATGACTCTTCTTGCGCGCTTTTACTCTTACAGGATTAATTATTGCAATAGCGTTGACGCTTTTTAAGCCTGCCAGCCTCGAGCAATGCCTTGTAACTAATAAAACGGGAATTAAAGCGAACAAAACTCAAAAATAAAGAAAACCATAAGTAAAGGTACAAGTAAATTAAAAAATTAACTCAAATGAACCTGAACGCCAACTAATATCCTTTTAAACCTAAGTAATTTGTGATTACTCAATTTCTCGGATAATTGATAACCTACAACATAAATAATTAATAATTAATTTAATTTTACAAACAAAATAAAACTGTAACCAATTGAAAACGAAGAGTGTATACATTGCAATGAAAAATTTAAGCTAATCTGAAATAAGAGGATCATAAATAAAATAATATTGTAATTAATGCTAGAACTACCGACATGTAACGTCCTAAATACCTAAATTTTGTACACGTAATTGATACTAATTAAACTGCTACAATAAAAACAGAAAAACGTGTGTAATTATGATCCTATTCGACTGTTGCAACCAGTATTGACATTGTAAGAAATAGCTCCATATTTCCAGTAATTCCAGAAATAAAACACTCTAAGCTTTGGTAGTTGTAGTGTCAAAGAAGAAATCAGAGGAAGACTAATCGTGAGAAGGAGAAGGAGAGAGATATCTCACCTGTTCTGGAGGGTGGAAGCAGCAATCCTTGAACCTCCTCTAGGGGCATCGCCTGTCCGTGATGATCTCGGTAAGGTCGATGAGGTCGATCTTTCATACCTCCTCGTGAACGCGCCAGTCGTGTTCGTCTTTGCCGGTTTCCACGAGGAGTAACAGCAACGCTCGTTGACGGAGGCAAGGATAGGGACCAAACTCAGGATCGGGTGACTGGGTGAGTCCTGAGGGACTCCTGGCAATGACGAAGGACGGTGGTAGAGCGTCATCGCCCCGCCGTCGTCCCTAAGACCATGCCCAGCTCACAAAGAACCTCGAGCCGAACAGCTTGCAGTGGGATACTCCAAGTTTCTTCTTCGACTCTGAAATCAAACAGAAAATTCCTTTGACCATTACATTCCATTTTCACGTTAATCTCTGGGAGTACAGAATAAATGAAAAATGAGTAGAGCGTTTCTCAACTCGATTATCTGTATGGGACAACAGTAAAAATTTATTTTAAAAAATTAAACACCAATTCGATTCTTTGGCAATCAGATTTTTGAAAGATTCAAAACACGGAGATAATCCTTTTGGTTCTTGGTGAACTACATACTCGGATATAAATTATATTTAATTATTAAATGTTTATGTAAGTAATAACCCTTGGATCGTTAATAAATCGTTAATTTCGAGTTAATATCTTTAAAATATAATTCTAATTAATGCAATAGCTAGTAGTTTATGCAAATTTAACGAGTACGTTCAAGGCACATAATTTATAAACATCGGTTCCGATTTCAGATTTTCAAAGATGACCAGGCTCGATTGGCTCGCGTAATTACCGGTTATTTCGTTGAAAGAAAAATATCAAGGACTTATTCGGTCCACTTCGAAAATCGAATCGTTAAGTAATTATGACGTTAATTAACAATCTATTATGCCACGCGATCAATCGATATTCCGGATTCAATGATATTATACCACGTAATAAATTCCGTAATGGCGTCGAGTATAATCAGTCGTTTAATGAAAGAACACGGGGTTCTACGAAATTCTATAATCACGTATAACGAAACGTGACAGATATCTCGGAAAACTCGGGTTTATTTTTAAAAAAGGAATTATCGAACAGGAGAAAATATTTCGCCTCGTATGACATGTCCCGCCATTTTATTTTACTGAAAACTCGTTCGAGCTTACAGTGTCGATGGTACTCATTAAAGAGTAGTCAAGTAATGGATCTTTCCATTACTTGTTAATGGAGCACTTTTTCTCTCTTGCACATCTTATATACCTATAAATTATTCCTTTTTCGTAATTAAAACAGAGGAGTCGAGAAAAAGTTGCATCCTTGGTCGATCAATTTTCCTTTATTTTCAATTATTTTCGTAATTTCAAATGAGATTACGATAATCTGGAGAGACAAAGTATACAAATATTTACAAGGTATTATATTTTTCTATCGATTTTGCGTTTCGTAGAGGACGGGGGGGGGGGGGGGGGCATTTTTCAGACTACGGTTTTACGTGCCTTACACGAGTCTCCGAGCACAATTGCTGCGATTACATGAAAAGTACTAGAGTCGTTTTTACCATCGAACCAATTTAGGTCGCCTATTGATTACCTCTGTAAAAAAGTTGTCCCCTGAACGTAAACATGGCTATAGTCGTCGAGATACCGATTGTATTACCCACGAAACTCATCATTAATCTCACAAACTGCTGTACAACGATTTTTCGTACGTCATCGCGATTTTCCAAATGATAAATACGAAATAATACATTGGTATATACTTCATTCAAAAATGTGCAATCCGATCGTGTAAATACGCGGTTAATAACAAATTGATATCGTTAAAAACAAATTGTTCGCAATGTAAATTTATAATGAAAGAGAAGAAGTTAATAAAATATTGATTATTAACGCGGAAGAGTAATAATTAATGAAATCGGTAAAATCTGGAAATTTTATACATTTCGTTGTTCGTGTTTTTCATATTTGATTTCCAAATTTTGTGGAAAGCCACCTCTAAATGGCGAGACCTGGTTATTGCTATTGTTTTCCAAAGAACAATCCTTTGAAATGAAATCAAACTAAAAGCTACGCACAGAAGTTAAGATATTTGCAATTGATTAATTTGAAACCCTGAAAATTTAGCTACTGAAATAATAATACTGATATTCCAGAAATTGAACTTGGGTCAGAACCCATATAAAAATTTCCAAAGAAACTTTTACGTAACAATTACTACAAATTGTTTCTGCACCCATGTCGATAATTTTGTGAAATTAATGTCAATATCTATGATAGAAAGAAATAAAACGCTTTTTTCCTACTGAACAAAATTAACGGGTATTTTTACAGTCCGAAATTTATCGCGAGCGCTGAAAATTGATTTAAAGCACCATATTTCTCGTGAAAGGAAGAAAACCTTCGGTTGTCGCACTTTTCGACGCGCGATACACGGAAATGGCTGAAAATAGCAATAAACCGAACTGCCAGTATACAAAACTATCTCGCATGTGCATATGTAGATCGTACCAATAACCAACACCATAAATCATCTCGGTGACAGAGTTCTTTTGCTTTGCCAGCAATTTGATATTAAAGCGATATTTCTAAACACCTCGCCGTTGAATACGGGTTAAAAATAAATACCAAGGGGGCACATGAATCGTCATATACCTCTTTTATTATGCGAGCATATGCCATATGAATATAAATAGACGAGCGTTATACGAGTCGCAAAAGACATATCTGCATATACGTGCATTTGTACTAAAAATGCGGGCCTACATATGATTCGTTCCATTTAAGAAAAAATTCCTTTTCCCCGATCTTCAACAAAATTTAATTATATCCAGGATAAGCGAATATTTTTGGAAATATTCGCTCGAGGAATTCAAACTAAAAGTTATTAAATTAATAATCGATTTATTCGTGAATAAACTGATTATGAATCACCTTACAATTTATTTATAATTTGCGGTTTCCACATTCATAATGTAGAATCGATCTTCCAAATTGATTCGAATTGCAAGATTTGAATCCAGCTGTATTCTAATTAATTTTAAAGTTTGTATCAGACTAAAGACACAGCGGATATAGAAGCGATGGAATAAATTGTTGCAAAAGGAAAATTAGTAGAATGTATTGATCGCTAAATTCAGGCAATGAATCTTAATAGAGAACCAAACCGCGATGATTAATGAATAAAATTACATGCTAGCATTTCTTGAGATCAATTTGCAGCGTTCTTATGGTTCTGGTCCGTGGCTAAGTTATGAAACTTAAATTAAATTGATGAACGTGTAACAAAAACGCAGGAGCACAGAGTTTGTGAAAATCAACGCTGACGAACTACACAGTCCACGAATAAAATATTCTAAAAATAAATTTATATGCAAATAAATTGTTCTCGATGAAAATCTAAATATCTTAATTCTCGGAAATCAGAAATTACATTGCTATTAAAAATTAAAACAAACCCCGAGCCAATGAAAATCAACACATGAACTCTGATCCTTAGTCTAATAATTGCAACCCTCTTGTAGAACATATAGAAATTTTTCAAATTCTCCAATCACAAATAATAAAGATATTAATTACCAAAATACCCAAGAATCGCAAATTACATTGCTATTAAAAATTAGAACAAACCCCAATTTAACGAAGACCAATAACTGGACTCTGATCCTTAGTCTGCCAATTTCAACCCTCTAGTAGAACGTACAAAAATTCTTCAAATTCTCCAATCACAAATAATAAAGATATTAATTACCAAAATACACAGAAATCGCAAATTACATTGCTATTAAGAATTAAAACAAACCCCGATCCAACAAAAACCAACATTTGTACTCTGATCCCTAGTCTACCGCGAAAATACCAACGCACTAAAATTTAAACAAAAAATCCCGCCAACACGTACAGTTCTTTGCTAACAAGCAGCTGTGTAACGAGTTCGATTCCTTGAACCACGAATTTTAATCCTCAAATACAAGGAACGTGACCATTCCCCGATATCGCTGTTTATAGACACTGGCTGTTCGTATACTGCCGGTCATGGGCGCGTAGACCTAGCCACTGTTTGCTAAAAGCACACATTACGTGCGTGTGAAATAGATCGATAGAAAACCTGTCGCGGTTAGTAGGTCTAGTTCAGCGGAATTATGTAGTAGATCACATGATATAGACATGCGAACCCGTTCGTGTCTCCTAAGGCCGACAGTGACCCTATCGTTGCACGTGATGCCATTTTCCCGTCTGTCCTTCGTCCACCGATTCGTTGACGCTCCGTTAAAAAAATAACGAGACGAGGGAAACAGGGAGAACACGGAACGGTTTTTCCAACGAGACCACACGCGACTAAATACGAGTTAAATAATAATTTCTCCAGTTCTTTCCCATATTCCCGTTTCTCCACGCTGACTACAGCCACGAAGGTATTAGCGCGACGTCGCAGTGTTCACACCGTGTAATTGTGTTTTTCCATCACTGTGTTTACACGGTAATGAGCAACGAACGTGTGCATGAGTGCGTGAGAGCGTTTCCTTATGGTGACACTCGATGGTTAGTGATATGGAATAGAAGCTTCGTTTCCCTATCGTTTCGTTACTGACAGGTAAATTTAATATTTGTTATCGCTGTATGTATGAGTAAGTGGGTGTATTGGAGTAAGTCACATGCACTGGTTAATTGAAAATTGTGAGTAACACGTATGGTGTTTCATGAAAGGTGTTAATTTAGAGTGTCATAAGAAAGTGATATTTGGAAGAAGGATTTTTTGAAAATATTTAAATTAATTTAGGTAAATTAGGTAATATTGTAATTAATATGTCTAGACTCCATACACGGTATTTATAGAAGAAAATTCTATGTATATACATCTTTCTGTCTCGATGTAACAAAGAAAGTAACTTATCATCCCCTAAGCACCGAAGTACTATAGAAGCTCGAAGGAACACAATGCAGCAATTATCTCAGGTGACTTGCGTGAGAAATAAATCATTTCTCTGGAGCACATCATGGAGCATCCTCTTCCATTTCGACTAGTTGGCCCTGAGATAATTTGTCAAAGTGTCTCTGGAAAAACCCACGACAGGGGTTGACAACGCTGGTGGCCTTTAATTTCGCCGCCCTTCCATATTTACGAGGTTCTAGTTTCATATCTCGTCCGTGTAGCACGAAAATGCGAATCAAAGTGCACGAAGAGACACGGAATTTTAGAGAAAGCAATTAAGCTCGAAGAACGGCGAAGATGCGAACCTGCGTTCACCTTTTTTTCCCTCGAAATTATCAGTGAAATATTTATATAATGGCGTGAAGGATTCCTAGAGATTCAAGGAATGTTTGATCAACTTTATGCTACGTTTAATTG